CGTTGTAGTTGTATTCGCCGAGGTACATGCAAAAATCATTAAGCTTTATTGGACCACTTTTTATCCGGTGGTTTTTAACATGTGGTAACAATCGTAATAGAAGTTAAATACAATAATTAATAAAAATAATTTGATTTACGTTGCGTTTTTTTTTTTTTTTTTTATCGATACCGATACCGATTAAAATATGAAGTACTTTAATTACAATTTTGAAGCTATGTACGTCATTTTTTTTAAATGACGGAAATTTGAAAGTGACGTCTAACATGTATACATGTATACATGTATTGCCGTAAATCAGGCATCTACGTGTTATTTCGATCATTTGCGCGTTATTGCGAATACATCGAATACAAACATGCATGTTACTTCGAGATAAAGGATCAATTTCAAGACTGATTATTATTATATTATAATCCACTATCAATGGCGTTATTTCGAAACTAATTATACTATTTTGGGCGTGACTTTCGATATCAATGAAACAGTTCTTGTATGTGGTCATACAGTGTAACAAATTTGCCATTTGTTTTTGCCGTACCATTTTTTTTGTGCAGAAGATCGGCTAAACAAATCCCTCGATATTCAGAAAAGGAAAAATTATAAGGTTCAAATACATGCACTTATAAATACTTAACGCACGTACGTACAGTACGTACGTACGCACGCATGTACTTATCAGTTTATCAGTTACGTATATCATAATTGACTCAAATGTGGTCACAATCTTATAGCGATAGCAATTCTGATGTAAAAATAGTTGTTGGAAGCGAACCAGATATTAAAGAATTCAATGCACATTCATCAGTTTTACGTTCCTCCTCTCTTTATTTTCAAAGGGCTCTATCAGAACGATGGAAAGATCAAAAGCAAGATGTCTATATTATCACAAAGCCAAATATTCATCCTAATATTTTTATGTTAATTCTTGAGTGAGTGTTTTATTAATTTAATGTATCTATTAATTCTATTAATTGCATTTCTTTGCTAATAAAATTAATTTATAATACGTTTAAGCTATATTTATACAAGTGAAAATATATTGAATACATCAGCTGAAGATTCTTTAAATATCCTAGTCGCATCTGATGAACTTGAACTTCTTGATCTTGCAAAAAGTGCTCAAAAGCACTTAATTAAAAATTTTTCACCATGGTTATTCTCTAATCTTGTAATGTCACTTAATGTTGTTTGTCGTCATAATCATTTTCATGAAATATACAATCATGTGCTAAATTTCACTTTTAGAAATCCACATTATCTTTTTGATTCAGCAGATTTTCCTTTATTAGATGAAGTAGCTATGATTTGTCTCTTAGAAAGTGATGATCTTGAACTTGAGGAAATACAAATTTGGAATTATTTGATTAAATGGGGTCTTTCTAAAGTTCTTGATAATGATGATAATGATATTACAAATCGGTCTGATGAAAATATTTCGAGCTGGTCTGATGATCATTTCAAAGCATTAAAAGAAACTATTTCTCGTTGCATCCCCTTAATTCGTCATTATCATATTCCTAAAAGTTATATCAACAAACAAATTAAACGTTATCACTTGGATTCAAATATATTTGCTAAATCTAAAACTCCCTCAAGAAGATGTTCCAGACTAATTACCAATGAGAATAAAGCTATAATCTCAAGCTGGATTGATCACAAAGATAAAGATCAATATACTTGTATAACAGATCCTTATAAATTTAAGCTTTTGTTACGTGGAAGCAGAGATGGATTTGATATTGATACATTTCATGAATTATGTGATTTTCAGGGTCCAACTATTGTAATACTTAAAACTACCAAAGGTGACTTGATAGGTGGATATAATCCTGTAAGCTGGGATAATTCTACTATAAACATTGATCAATTTTCCATAATGCAACAAGGACAATATTATGGTGGACTTTTTGGTATATTTTTTCAGTTTATTTATACTGTTCTTTCAATATTTAATGTACCATTTGTTATATTTGAAAAGAAACCATATTTTAGTAAAACCTCAAATAGTTTTATCTTTTCATTAACTAATCAATCAAATCTGGTATTGAGTAGAGTAAAAAACAAAAGTAAAAATAAGGCTATTTGGAATAATCAATCACATGGGCCCTGGTTTGGCGAATCAGATTTATGCATGAAAAATTCAAACAAAAATTGGGCTTGTAAATTGATAGATTATGAGTGCAAAATAACCAATTCACGCCAGTTAACAGCTGTAGAATATGAAGTATTAGCATTTGATAATTATAATTCAATAATGTGCAGTATTTTGAAATTTTTGAAAATGTTTAGAGTATTTGTAATTTACTTTGCGACTATATTTTTAAGTAGTTTGGTTTTCATTTATTATTGTTTGTTAATAACTTTATCTTTTTTAGTTATTTGTTTATTTAATTTTGTTATATATTATCCTGTAAATATTATACTGTATCTTTTGTTTACTTTTATTAGTAAGCTGTTAAATTATTAAATAGATCGTATGGGCGAAAATTTCCATTTTCATAATTTTTATTATACATAAAAATTTATTGAACCAATCATATGCAAGATTTGGAGTGACTACTCATTACGGCGCATTTACGAAATACCCAGAAATTTGAAAAATTTGACTACTAATATGTAAATATATATTTTGACTGAAATATCCAACGTTCTCCAAGGTATGATGCGTTATTTAATAAATTCCTATTTCTTCGCCTGTGATGAAAATGAGTTAGACGCGTTATCGGTACAGATCAGGCATTGATTGATTAATATATAATTTGGTAACTAAAATTTAATTTTGGTGACAAAATACTTGGATTCTGTGACCAATTGTCTGCTTAATTTCGAAAATGCGCCGTAATGTGAGATTAAAAGCGATATTTTAATCAATTATCGTAAAATTTCTTATGATCACTTATCAGTTTTTTATATAGTTTACTTTATGGGTCCTTGGATAATTTACGAGCTCTTATCAGTAAATTACATGTATTTTACCATTGTAAGTTTTATTGTAACTTAAGTAAATTACTTGTAAGTTATGTAGGTTGATCAACATATGGGGGGGTGTCAGGAAAATTGTTTTTAGTAAGTTTTTTTAAAACTTTAAATTAAAATATCTCAATAACTATTAAACCAAACTTAATAATTTTTTTTTATTTTAATTCTACAACTAAATAGCAATAAAATAAAGAAATTTTTACCAAGTTTGGTTTAATAGTTGTTGAGATATTTTAATTTAAAGTCTAAAAAAAATTTACTTATAAACAATTTGCCTGGTTTCTACTGACACCCCCATATGTTTGCAAATTAACTTATACTCCATAAAGCTTATTATTTAACCTAATTTTAGTTACATTAAAAAATATTTACAGCAGAGCGAGATAATTATGTTTGACGTGATTGGTTATTTTTTTAGCCATTATAATGCTGGTAAAAATATCACGTGATTCGGCTAGCTTTAAAGCTGTTTTGTAACTTACATATAGGCCGAGTAAGTTACAGTAAATTACAGTGTAACCTACATGTAAATTACGTGTTTCAACAACCCTACTCTATCTGCTATAGTAATTTATACCGTTTAATCACAATGCTCCTACTGTAAATTTTCGCCCATAAGTATTGGGGTATTCTAAAATGCGTAAATTGGTCATATTTTTACTAGTAAATTATTATCAAAGAATATGTTCAAAACGAACGTACCATCAAGTTTTTTATGGCAATCTTTGTAATGAATAATTGCCGTAATATAGCTAAAAGAAGTTACAGTTTAAAAGTTTTAATTAATCAAACATTCTTAACTATTACATTAGTTGGGATTTTCTCTTTTTGTTTTTCTATATATGCTCTAGCTAAAGATATGTGTGTGTTATGAATTTGGCCTTAATAACCAAAAATTTGAAACTAAATAAGGCTTTCTTTATATTATATATAGTGCAGGTCAACAGTTACACGAAGTGTTTCAATTTTTTAAATGGTTATAACTTTTTATCTAAGGGGTTTTAAAAAAATCTGATCAGTAACTTTATAGAGCTATATCAGCTCTACATATGTGCCAAATATCTTTTCAAAATCTCATCACTGTAAAGAGTTG